GAAATCCCTGTCAGAAGGCAAACTATCTTCCCAAATTCAGTGACAGTTCTTCACAAAGCACAGCACTCAGCCTTTCCAAGCCTCATTAATCTGTTTGAACTTCCCCAGCCAAGAGCTGAAGGGAAAAGCAGAGGAAACTTCAATTGGAAAATATTTTGACGTAATTGACCCAGACGACAAACTAAACTTAAGCACATGTCAAGCACAGGGAATGGTACAAAAGCATCAGCGGGGCAATACAGGAAGTTAAATCAAGCCAAGGTGAAATCAGACCTCTGAGAACACTGTATATTTTTGTAATTACTGCTAATTGAGAAAAGACAAAAATGCCTTCAGCCCAAGCTCTTAAGTAACAGGAAAAAAAATTTATGTCAGGAATATTTTCTAACCTTCTATTTGTTTTCTCTTCTAGCACAGTTGGAGCTCCTAACCAACAAAACTAATATTTCAGAGCAATGTAATACATATGTATTGCCTGCACCATTGATTTGCCTGGCATTAATTACTTACCATCATAGGTTTTTTTGGTTGTTGTTTTTGGTTTTAAATATTGTTTCCATGTTTCGACAGGTTTACAACCATCATTGTGTCTCACTCAGAGAGCTGAATTCTGAGGGGTTTAACTTTTGGAAATCTAAGTTTTCTGAAAGGTTAGGCTGGTTGTTTTTTTTTTTTTTTTTTTGTCAGTATCACTACATGAGTTTTCACTTCAATTTTGATTTTAAAGAAAAAATATATTAAGAAGCACTGAGCAGCAAGAGGAAAAATGATACTTCTAAAACCATTACAAGCATGTAGAAGTTCTTAGTACTGATTTAGTAAACTCAAGTAATCTGCATGTTGCATAGAAGCAGCACTCAGAACCCCCTGTTGATACAACACAGAGCAAAGCCTTCTGAATTTAGCAGGAAGTCTCCCTCTGACTTTAGCCAGCTGAGTAGTGCATGATGCCATCAACAATACGTAGCCCCTCTGGGTACACTGCATCCAGGGCTCATGGACAACTCAAGAGGCAAAAGGATTTCCCAATCCCTGTGGCCCTTTTGAGACCACCAGGTGCTGCAGATGGAGCCTATCAGCTTTACAGTATAAGAGGAAACGTCAGTGTGCATTTTGAAATAGGCAAAAACCAAGAAGCACAATTGTTTTCTTGGTAGCAAAGTTAATTACATAGATACCATAACAACAGAGAGATAAAAACATAGTTTTTCTACAAGGTGCTTCCCAGAAAACCAAGGGAAAACCCTGAAGAAAAGTAATATTCGCTAGATTCTTAACACAACACAATGATATAAGATTTCCTAAAAAATAAAAATAAAAAAAAATCCAAGAGGGCAGGCATAGCAGACCCAAACAAATCAAGGTGTGAGACAAATGCAGATAAAACTATCCTCATTTCCCAATCTTTGAAATAAAGAATTGTAGTGGTCTAATGAACAGACATCTCAAAAAAGCAGTTAGTCAAAACTGAATTCAAACACGGGAACTGTTAAATTGCACAGAGAAGTAATCACCATAAACAAAAGACAAAAGAAAAGGAGGAGGGGAGAAATCACAGAAATAATGCAGCAATATTCAATTTCAGAAAATTAGATCGAATCTAAAGCAAAAATGTCACAGAAGGAGCAGTATATAACAGAAGTGTGTCAGCATCCTAGCAGAAGCTGAAAATCACATCCCCCATCCTAATAAGGTTTATAGGTGTAATATCTGCATAGAATTTTCCCATTGGTAGAAGAAATGCATAAAATACAAGCTTTTGGGACTGTGCAAGAGAAGCACGAAGAAGGCACAAGAGCACACAGAAGACTGACAGAAGTAAGAATTCAACACGATCAGAAAATACTGATAAAACCAAGACTGATGTTCAATCACTAAGGAATGAAAAAATTATCCTAATTCACTCCTTCACCCAGTCATCTACCTGTGTATATCCATGACTACAAAGCACTAACAGCACTCCTAGAAGTTGAGCAGAATTCAGCTGTGTTTTGGTCAGAGGTTTTGAGGAAAAAATATATCAAGATGAACACTAAAACCCTGGTAAGCCCCAATGCTATAACAGATTTAGAAGAGGGGTGATAGGAAGTAACAGAAAGAGTCATTCCCTGGGAAACAGTTGAAAACCTCCTCCGGAGTAAATTTAGCTGATATATTGTATGCAAGACAAAGAAAGACAGTCAGTGAAGGAATAAAAATAAACAGTTCCCCTTAGGAATTGTAAAAACAAACAAGCAAAGCAACCGCTTTTCTCTGGAAAAGCGAAAGGTCACCAATCTCGATGAAAATACAGCTATAAAAAGTTTTGGAAAAGTATCAAAGAACGTGTTTACAAAAGGGCACATTCATTGTAATACTAACCATTCAAACTTCACAATAGATTTCAGGAGAGAACAGGATGTAACGTCAAACATCTGTTATCACATTATTTTCTTCAGCTCCTCTGCCCAGAAATTACATGTAGACTTTGCCTAGCTTCCAGACCATGTTAGAGACAAGTCAGACGTGCACTCGAGGCCACGCCATGTGATCACATCTAATAAGGCACTGTGACAACCAGTCACTCCAAAGACACTCGGAAACATCACGTTTTAGGAGATGACATACAGCCCAGATTAAGTACTTAATCTAACAGAGGCAGCTAGCCAAATCAGAGACACTGCACATACACATCTGGACAATAGCACAGAGTCCTCCTGGACCAGGAGATGCCTGCTGCATTCCAGTGTGCTCACTTCTGGAAAGAGATGGACTCACTGCACCCGCGTGCCTTGAATGTGGTAGGGCCATCTTCCAAAAACCACAGGTCCAACTAAGAGCCACATATAACGTATCCAGTTCCCTGTCAGGTTTCAGGCACAGGGAAGAGAGATGGCACCCTGCCACAGCCTCATCCATTGCCAGAGCAATGCCTCCCGCCCATGGTCCGTTCCTGGGAAGGGCCCAAGAACCTTAACCCTCTGAACTATGCTGCAGGAGCACACGTATCCTACCGGCTGTACTGCAGACACTTTTCATCAAGGCCACTCATTTGGAGCAGGACCAAGGAAGGAAAGCAAGTCTGAAAAGTAAATTATCACAAAACACTCTTCCATTTCGAAAATGCTGATATCAGTTACAGCGACCAAGATTTGAGACGTAATAAAGGGAAAATTAACAAAATTACAAGAAAAATTATTTTGCTCAAAAAAAAAAAAAAAATTGTATTAATCTACTCTGGATTTATTGCAGGAACAATTCAGTGGAAATGAATTCAAGCCTGTTGTGCTTTAAGAAGTGCTACAGGCAGTGATGTTTAACACATTTAGTACATGATGGATGTTGCCTTTTCTGCCCAGAAAGCAAATGTGAAGTTAGGGAAAGTGGGCTACATTCCCTTCCCGGAGACAACCTATCCAAGGTTGGACACGCTCCAGAGATGTGCCTCTTAAAACATCTGTACATTGAATATTTGACCACTTCCAGGACAAGGGATTAAGTCGACAGAGAATAAAAGGCATTTCCCCAAGATAGCCCCATCTGCTGCAGCTTGGCCGAATCTGGGGGGTTACACCCTTAGAAATACACCCTGAAGAAATGCTGCATTACTGTATTAAAAGCATTTCATGTCGGTGCACCTTAAGACATGACACCTCACGCTCAGCCCAAGACATTCTTTATGATGGATACAGCTCCAGCAGGCATTTCAGTGATGCAGTAAGACTGATGAATGAACAAGTGACATCAACATTCATTTTTAATTTTTTGAGGGGGGTGTTATTTGTTTTTTTGTTTTTCCAAATTGAAACTTTTATTTCCCTTCCTTTCAAGCATCAGTGCACTGGGCAAAACAATGAAAGAATGTTTTCTTAAGAAGTACAGGAAGAAAAGGTTACCTTGTTTACCAGTAACTCTGGAGTACAAAGACTGACTTTGTCTTCATGGAAGGCAGGAAAGCCAGCATTTCTGAAGGGCTGAGGTTTCCAAGACCCTTCTTGATGGTGTGACCGTGACCCAGAGGCCTGTCTGCAGCACCAGGAGGCACATGCAGCAGAGGGCTGCAGGGTCAGTGCAACCACTTCTGCTTCCAGAGCTCCACTGGCAGTGTGGCTGAAAGGTCAGGCACAGGAGGGAGCTCTGCAGGGGCTAGCGATGCCAAACATTTTGTGAGTGAAGGGATGCTCAACAGAGAAGAATGTGATCGTACTGTTGATGAGATACTTTTAAAAGAAAAATACTTAAACAAATGTTTTTCCTTGCACTTCATTAACGTTCTTACACAGCTGCAAGACTACTCCATGTGGAATCACTCTATCTTTTTTCCTTTCTATGCATTGAAGCTCCACATTATTATTTAATAACTTCCATTCATGCATTTTCCATACAACCCGCAGTAATCAATACACTGTTTCACAGGCAATTTCTCTGTGCTTCTTAACGCTGGGAGAACATCCCACTGATCCAAGAGCGCTCCAGATATAACAAATTTTGCAAACTTTCAAAGTCATGGATGAAATAGAATGACTTTCCCTGAAAACTACAATAACTGGGCATGAGAAATCTGTAAGAAAACATGGGTAGTATGACAAAGAAAGCGATTTTATGGAGGAATAAGAATGAACATAAGAGATGAGACAATAATATCTCTAAACAAGCAAGTAAATATTATTGTAAGAATAGCTACCACTGTTCAGATTTGCATTGTTGAAGAAATTCATTGTTTCCATGAAAAAAACTTCTACAATAAAATAATGCTAATAATTAAGATTTTTCACTAGAATAAAAGAAGCATTTTTTTAAATGCTTTTGTGTAGTTCACTATTCAACCTTTTTTCTATACTGAGAGAAAGAGAGAGAGAAAAAGGGAGAGAGAAAAAGGCACAGACATCTAAGAAAGCAGTAGTCCTCTTCACAAGACAATACAAATGCTAAGAAATGCAAAGAGACACTGAATTTTACCCTAGAAATTGATAAATTGTTGTTATCTGAGAGTTATGAAACTCTAAGAATGAGTGACCTACCTTCACTGCCAAGAAGTTGAGGCCACTTTCATGAGCCAAAGCTTTCGCTATCATTGTTTTTGAGCATCCAGGAGGTCCATAAAGCAGCACACCTTTTGGAGGCTGAATCCCCATTCGGATGAAGGAGTTGGGATGTTTGAGAGGCCATTCAACTGCCTGCTTCAATTTCAGCTTGACATCTTCTAGTCCTCCTATGTCTGACCAAGATACCTGCAAAGCAGACCAATTTTATTATTATAAAAATTAAAAAATGACAGTATGACCATCTAGCCAATAACACTTTCTGTTATCGTGAGTCACAACTCAACTCTCTCCTCCACTCCAATGATGCAGAAATTCTAAATTTGGTGTCTTCCTTGAATATTTACATGAAGACTGCATGAGCCCAAGAAGGTTTTACTTAGTGCTGCTCTGGTCTGGGTGTTTGACTTCAGTAAGCTCAACTTTTGAGCAGGGTTTGTCCAGTTGCCAGCACCATCACTCCTATCTATGACAGGAGCACTACAGACTTAACTAGAAGCTGAAGAAAAAAAAACAAGCCAGCAAACAAATATCTATGAAAATTAAAAAATATTATTCAAACTCAACTAGTAGTCAAATTGGCTTTGTTAAATACACAAGACAGGCTTGTCAAAGATAACAAATATGTCCTTCCCAAAACAGCAGACAGATCTAAAACATGCTACACATGTCCAGCTCAACACAAGCCTGAGAACTTTACCCACATCCTCCACTCATTCTTTGTTCTGTCACCATCCATTCCCATCCACCTTAAATATTAAACACGTCAAGACACACCTAAATCAAATGATCTTCTGTCTTAAAACGCTCTTCAAAAAATTTACTAGGCATAAATCACCATTCAATTCTGGAAAGTCAGCTAAACTTGAAAGACAAGCAGAATATCACCAAGAGGCAATGGATCACCTTTCTCTGTTGTTACTCCTGGTTCATCCCTATTTCCCTGATACCAGAACACAAGAAACTAGAAGTGGAAAGTCCCTAAACCAGGTAATAAGAGAAAGAAAAGGATCATTTGTTAGTGATGCAAGGGTTTTTGTCTAAGTACAAACATTTGCAAACCAACAAAATGTCTCCCCAATTGTTAGTCATTAACATACATGAAAATTACAAGGATTAAAGAAGAGTAAATGCAAAAGATCAACACACATGGATCAACTCCTCTGAAGTATTTCAAGAGTAAGGGTTAACTGGAAGGTGAGGAGCTGATTTGCTGCCAGCAAAACATGTCTCCCACAGCAGGAATATGCAGCAGGCACTCTAGAAAAAATTAGTTTTTTCTTAGAAACCAATAGCTTCTGTTTCTCAAATAAATAATTACTTTATAGGCTTGATAAAGAATAAAATATGTAGAACTGACAGTCACTGCCCACTAAGAAGGGTCTGAGGGCAGGGGGCTGCCAAAGATTCTATTCCTTTATTGGGACAGAAAAAGACCTAAAACAGAAAAGAAACAAATTCAGTGAAGGTCAGAGGAAAGAGAATTCTGAATAAGACCCAGCAAAGTAACCAAGTAGCAGGGAGGAAAGTATTTTAGTGGGAGCATTACCAAAGTGGCAGGACTGTTCTGGTAACTCAAAAGCCAACTTCTGCAACCTGGCAATACTCCTTCTTGAGGCGCTTTTTCAAAGTAGTAATGTAAAAACAAAAAACAAACAAACAGCAACAAAAAACACAACAAAACACTCTTTTCTGTTGCTGCTCCATAATACCAGCAAGACTAGCCACACAATCAATTTAAAGAATGGCAGCAAATAAATAGAAATGAGCTGCACAAAAAGATCTCTAGTTTTTATAGTTGGACTAGATCATCCTGTGGTCTTTTCCAACCTTAATGATTCTGTGATTCTATGAAATGAAAGCATTTGTCTTAATTCAGTAAAAATAGTAAAGTGAGAAACTCCACAATGGTGTAGAAGTGAAAAGGAAAAGATGCTCAAATTCATACCATCTAGCTTTGACCAGGGTACCTTGGGCTCCCAACACAGTCTAAAGAAAGAGACCTTCACAGAGTGACCCAGCTGAAAGATGAACACTTCCAGAGACATGTAGTCTCTCACCCAGCTTCTCCCTCTTTCATTCGGATGGAGCAGATACAATGACAAGATGACTGAGTTAGTCACATAATGCCTAAAGTTTGAAAGACTCCTTTGTTCCTGCCTAAACTGTCACAGTAAGAGATGAAAACGCACCTATAGATTTTTAATTACCATAAAAAAGACATACAAGTTTTAAGAAAGCAAAGACATGCATCAAACACCTTACTTCCACATACACAAACAATCCCTTTCAGCTCAAATTTCATGGCTGATCCCCATTTTCAGTATGAGTGCTCCCTCACACCTGCCAGTGTATGTTTTTGTAATGTCCTCCTTGCTAGACAAAGTGATTGTGACAAATACAAAGGAAGAACCTTAAAATTAATTAAGCCATCAGGAATTTCCTACAACTTTTAGCAACTGTAGGCAAACCAGTAGTGGTACTCGCACACACACAGAAAATCCAGCGAGAAAACACATGCATGGTCTTTTACCCCCTCTTAAATACACACTATTGCATAGATTCCATTATTTAAATGGCTTTAGGACCTGCTATATAACATCTATCATCGTCAGTGATGGAAATTATAAATATGGTGAAGTGGGTCCTCTCTATATGTTGGAAAATCTAGAGACTTACTCCAATTTTGCTTACATTTTAAAAATGGAAAGGGATAAGTGAGGCAGGACATACAAACTGGGACACTAAAGGTGAGCTTGCAAAGTACAAGTTAAAAAACAAACAAACCAACGAAGAAGTTAACTAGGCATAATTTCAGCCAATTTAATCAGGTGGAATTCAAACAGCAATGGTGTTGAAAGCAAAAGCAGCTAACAACACACTACCTTCACATTCTGGACAAGTCTTTCACAAAATATATTTCTTTTTCACTCTTCAAAAGGAGATAGGTAAGTGAGGGAAAAACCACCACAGTCCACCAACACTAATACACTCAGAACTAAGGACTCATTTAGACATAAGCTAGTATACACTTAGCAGAATTAGGAGGATTGCTTTTGCAAACCATCCTCAGGAATTTCCTGACAGCAATTAACGCACATTACAGTACACACAGCAGAATGCCTAGCTGCACATCCTAACCTGCACATGGACTGAAGGGAAAAGCCTTGCAACACAGCAATTAAGTGTGATATTCTGTCACTGTGGAAGTGGTGGAAAAGATTAGCCTTAGGGCTGAGCTTACGCATCCGGAGACAGCCACAGAGACAGACAGTGCTCTGCTTCAGTGCATAAGGCACCAAGATTTCATTACTGCCATAATCTTTAGCTTTCCCCAGGTCAACAGATCTCAAATATGATGCAGAACAGCAACTCCCCAGAGGTCATGAGCAGCAGCAATAAAGAAATAAAGCAGGCGTGCAAAGGATGTCTCTTCCAGAACCTTTTCTCTGCAAAGACACAAATCTGAGTGTTGAATTACAGTAAAGGGAATGAGGCAGGCAAGCGAAATCCACAGCATTCCCAAATATTTCTGAAAAACCCACAGGAGAGGGAAGAACTGCAACTATGGTGCAACTTTCCAAACAGCTGAAGTATTAACTTCCTGATTTATAATGTGCATCCCCTTTCTCCTAAATTCCTGCTGCAAAAAACCTTCTAACAAGGTTGTGACACATAGCAAAGTTCAAGAAAGGTTCTGAACAAATGGAAATTGAGAAACCATGTGGAAGCAGGCAGACAAGTCTTTTGCTTTGGTCCCAGCAAGGCACACAGCACTCTGGGCAGAAGCAGAAGGAAAAGAGAAAACTATAAGGCAGAGCACAGAAATTAACAAACAGTAGAATCAGTCTTAGAAACAAAGGGCAATATGAAGCTCACTGTGAATCAGCTGAAGTGAGTTAATAAAAAAAAATCATATTAATCTTGCCATAAAGCACTTTTGAGAAGTAGACAGCAAAGCATTCTATAAGAGTTATCAAACATCCTCTAACACCAAGAAGTAAAGTGACTTACATAAGGCCACCCAAACAACACAATTCTATTACATATTCTTATTCTTTATTACTCTACATATACATGTAACTTTTTCCAGATCTTAAATAAAAGGTTGCAAGAGAACAATTTAGCTTAGTAGCCTTTTAAGCAGCCAAGCAGTTAACACACTATTCTAAGACCTAGGAAGTGAAGGCTGATTCAAAAATTACATTTTCATTACAGCCTACTTACAAGTCCACTGATTTCAGAGAACAAGCACTGCAAAGTCTAAACAATTTGGAATTCATAACAAAATAAATATCAGAGGTAACACCGGCCCCAAAAACATAAATGGAAAAGGTCTTTGGAGTATGAGGGAAGAAGCATTTCAACTACATTTCTTTAATGGTGGCTTTATTTATAAGTTACTTTGCACTCTGCTCATGCAATTTGTACAGGGCTACTTCAAAACAGTTGAAAATGACAACCACCTTAGGAAAAATCAGAAAGTTAAAAATCACAAAAGTCTCAACTAATTCAGCATGTGCAATGGATTTACTTATAACCAAGTGCATAGCCCAGAAGGTCCATTCACACAAAGGGGGATGCTGAGTCAGGAATATATCTACAACTAACAGCAAGAGGATATCATTAATATTGACATCAGATTTCCGTCTGCTATTTGGAAAACAAACAAACAAACAAAAACAAACAACACAGCTGATCATTTATTTCATGTCTGAAGATATTTTAAGAAAGGATTTTGTAGATGACAAACAGCACTGATGTCGGATTTCGAAACATGAAGGAACGTAATACCTGATTTTCTAACAATATTAACTGTACAACTGTCAACCTGAATAGCTCCTAGGAAAAGGAGAGTAGACAAAGAAAAACTATTCTTACAGATGAGGAGAATATAATGTAGGATAATTTTACAAAATACGACGAACACATTAGCCAGAAAAAAAGATAGCTGCATTCCTATCTTGTTCACACTTTCTTTTGCTTTTCTCCCCCTATTTTTTAAATTTTGATAAAAATACAACAAACAGAAGGAAGGCAGCTCCTGTAGGCGTGCATTACTGCAGAGCAGTTATATAGTGTACCAGAGTACAGCAGGTTAGCATCCAATTAGTAAAGTGCTGAAAAGTGAAATGGTGCAAGTCCATGAACAGAAAGTACTGGATTGAAATAAGGGCAATTATTAAAGAGGAATAACTTACTCCAGAAATGAGGGCAGGTTACAGTTCTGTATTCACACTACTTCGACTTTCACAGACAGCTGTGCAAGGTATTTCTCAATATTTAGACAGCTTCAGAGCACAGACAGGTACCTTATGTTGATAGAAAGTTGTCTCCACAGTCCAAAGTAGCGGTTAAACTCAACTCAAGCACCTCCTTCAGCAGCTTAATGTAGGACAACACACTTTCTGAATGCATCTGGTATATTTGGAGCCTAGCTTCCACTTTAAACTCACCACAGGCACCATGTAAGTGACCTGAAATTCTACACAGCATATTCACTATTTTGTAAAAATCAAAATCCAGTAAGCACACAAGGAATCTGCACTACATTATGCCTTCCTTTCATCAAAGGAACAAATTTTAGTAGTATTCCAGTGACTCAGCTGGCATTTAACAAAAATGTGACGTCTGAGAAAGCCAGCAGAAGGATGGTTTTGTGGATTACAAGAGCCTGAGTAGTAGGTTGACCTGGATTCAGACTACACTCTCTGCAGGACTTTGACTTATATATCTCTTAACTGTGCTGTTGAGCAGTAACTCCAAATGGGCTGATATGTCTAGAAGGCACAAAGCAGCGATAATGATGTGAGCCCAAGAGACAGCAGCACAATAAGCAACAAGAGGATTAGCAGTTCTGGTTCTCAGCAGAACTAATTAGCTCTTGCGGATATTAATGCCTCTATACCATTTCCAGAAAAAGCTGTCTGGGGCCAACCCAGGCATTTCTACCTAGCACTCCACTGCACAGCGTGGACTCTTAACAAGCCAAGTGTGATATCCGACCTGGCTGCATGCAGCATCCTGTTCAAAGATTTTATTTCCCATTCCTATAGTATGGGAATAGGGGTCTGTAGCTGTGTAACCTAATTCCCTGATGACTCATAGTCATGCAGTAAGACATAAATGTTTTCTTCAGGAGGTTGGAGAGCTGCTGAGAAACATCAGCACAACTGCTTGCAGAGTCAAAATGTAGTGCGATAAAATATAACGTTTTCTTTTGCTGAATCTTCTTAAACCAGATGAGATCCACAGTAATTCAGTAGCAGATACAACATAACTGAAAGGGTTGCGAGTGTCTTAATGACGACTGAATGTGGCACTGCCAAAAGACCTGTTTGTGTAATGACAGCACCTGATGGGTAAGTGACCATTTACCTACAGAGCCCAATTCTGCCCTCAAAGCTTTGTGATTTTTGAAGACATCCAGGTTGCAGTTCTTACTACTGTATGTAGAGTTACTCAGCTGCTTTACACAAATCACAGCAATCACTCTGTTTCAATACACTTTGATTACAAATGCTATCTTGGTTTCCACTTAAATTTGTGTCTGCTTTACAGAAGGCTTCAGCTTACACAGCTAATCAAGATCAGCTTTAAACAGACATCTTAAGATTTTTACTCCGTTAACACGCTCAGAACACAGAAGTGCAGATCAGGAAATATGCTTCTACACTACCAGTTCTTTCCAGAGCATTACAAACTAAAGAGGTTTTCAAAATTATAATTAATTAAACATGCAAACAAAAAGATGATGCACAGCATTTATTGGCAACTTGAGACTTCCGCTTTACAAACCAACTCTCTTTTGGTAAGACGTTTCAATGCGTAGCTGTGACTCTTAATGTGGCTCTAACAATGTCGCTAGTGTACTGCAAAAAAACAACTTACTTTTGGCACATCGACTGCCACCTCCCTCATGGCGCTGGGCCTGACATCCTTCATCCCCTGCAGGAAGTCATTGAAAGCAATCATCACTGACCCAGCCACCTCGGTGTCTGAGGGGCGAGCTCTCTTCCCCAGAGCTCTCCGCAGCGCGTACAGACCTATTAAAAACAAAAAGCAGAAAAACATGTAGACTTCATCCTGTTTCTCACAAACATGAAGCGTACAATGGACAAACACACAGCAGCACTGGAAAGGAAATGACATTCAAAAGCATGTCCCAGCGCCGGGCCCTAAGTAGGTCAAGGAACATGCAAGACACTTCTGTGGAGAGAGGAAGAAAAAGGGGATTTTATGACCGCATATAAACAGAATATAAACTAGATTGCTTCCAAAAGACAGAACAAAACAGCCTTATTCCCGTGTTCCAAGAGATGAAGCTAAGAGGGCAAAAATATCCATACACTGACCTAAACACATTTTTAAACCACAAACTGGGAAGAAGGATAGATAAAGAGTAATTGAGGCAAGTGTTAAATCAGTACTCATAAGACGGCTGTAAAACTGTCCATTTCTCTGTTGATTAGGATTCTCTTTTCCTTTGTAACCCTGCTCTACGAATCAAAACAGTTCAGTGTGTGATATGTCAATGCATAACAAGTATAATCCTGAGTGTAGGCATACAGCCACATACACACTCCACACACACACACAGATATGTAGGATAACCTGTCACGTGCTGCAAAAAAATATGAGGCAGCCACTACAGCACCAGTTAGTCTTGCATGACCATAAAAAGGCAAACATTTGTTAAATCTTTTCTATATTTAACCAAACAAAACATCAATTAACGCTACGTGAAAGCACAATTAATGGGATAAGCTGTTTCTGAAAATAGATGCGGTGTTAACTTTCAGCAGATTATTGTCTTTATTCTACGGAGGAATGGTAGGGGACACACAAAGTTTCTGACAATGACAGGAATTCTGCATTTCCTACAATATATACAGCGTGTGAAGAGATATAATACCTCCCCTGTGCACCAGTACAGCTGGTGTCTCTCCATTAACTGCCAATTATGACAGAGCCACAGCACCTGCATTTAATACCCCAGCTCTTAATACAATAATGAAAAAAAAGTTTGTAATTCAGGTTTCCCCTTGTGCAGAACATCCAGAACTAATAAGATATATAAATAAAAACATTCCACAAGGCTGAGGAGAAAATGAAAATCTGGTCACCAGAGGACACACATAAAATACAACTGACTCATTTTAATAAGCCAGACAATTTTCATGTTTCTTCCTCCCCCTTTCTTCCTTCCTCCAGAACAGTTCATTTCAAGCAAATGAAAAACTTGAGTGAGGAGATACCCCTGCAAAATTAAAATTTGCATTCAAGCAAATAACAAATGGGGTGAGGTATTCTAGAGGCACTGTAGCAAATGCTCGGAGGTGAGAGCAGGTACTGGGGGTCAAGCCCTACATATTCTTTTGGGTAAAGTCAATTCCTATGGCACAATCACCCTAAAATGAAAGAATAAATAAAATATTAGGAAATTAAGGCTTGGAGAAAGCAGCTTCGCTTTTCCTTTCTGTACATAACTGTTCCACCAGTTCTGCTCGTTTAGCACAAATTTTAATCTCGCCATGGCTATCTTTCTTTCCATTACGTAAGGAATTCCTAAAATAAATGACTTGACTTTGAAGTGGACAGAGAACATCACACAGAAAGGCCAAAGAGAAGGGTGCTCTTCATGATGGTGCCTATCTGTGCTGCTGGAGCACAAGAGTGAAACCGCGGTCACTGGCAGCGGGTCTGAGATGCCACAGCCTTGATCCAGAACAGGAATAGTGAAGTCACAGCTCTCCACACAAAGCCTGAATTCACTTCAGCACGTGCATGCACACGCCATTGCACAGGTCAGCATTTAATTGAAACAATGTTTTACATTAAAACAATAATAAAAAACAGATTGAAAAAGAAAGCATGATTCTTCCTGTTTCCTCCTGTTATCATAATCATTCTTTCCTGCACTTCAGATTGACCTCTAACCAGAGGGGGGGAAAAAAAAGTCTTACTAACAGAAGGATACAGTCTGCAGCCTGCCTGAGGGAGAAAAAACACATCTTTGTCTGGAGACACTGAAAGACACATGTAACATACGGAAACATGGGGCAGGGCACACAATGGGCTGCTGGGAGCCGGGCACAGCCAAGGGGGGTGAAACACCACAGCAAACACGAGCTCATCACTGCTGAAGATGGAGATGAACTGAAGATTCAGACAATGTGAGGGGTGGTAGAGGTGGTCAGTGGATCCCTACTGTGGGGAAAGGGATATGTTTGGTCCCCAGGGCTCTCCTGTACTGAGCAGGAATGCAGCTCAGAGGGCAGTGACTGCAACTGTGAGCAATGCTGATCCTCGGGGGAGTATAAATGGAAAATCCCAGTTAAAAAAAATAACACAAAAAACTGGAAAGACACAAGCATAATAAGTCATGCATGATTACAAACAATGGAAAATAAACAATCTGTTCCAGTCCAGCAACTGTGCACTCCACCTCACTAACTCATCCTGTCTGTCTAGAACAGAGGAAATTAAGTGGACAGGAGGGAAAAAGCCACCAGAACACGTTGTCCTGGTACAGCTGATCCTTCCTTGGTACCGGGCTGAGCGGGAGGTAGGTAGCATTGCTCCCTGCAAGACTTTCCTGCTCGTAGTTTGGCTAAGGGTTGGCACATTAGATCAGAATCACAAATGCCTGAGCCTAAAAATAGACTCTACTACACTGCTGCGTTTGTCAGAGTCTGTGTATAATTACACACTAATGTAAATAATAGAAAGCATCCACTCCAAACAGAGAACACACATACTTTAGGCTTTAAAAACAGAATATACACAACACATGAGGAAATGAACCAAACCAAACAAAATCATTAATCATGCTTCTTTCAGTGCCATCAGACACTTCTTCCGCTAATCTGCCCTGCCTGGACTTACTCTACCAGAAGCACAATACCAGAACTTGTAATTTCCGTGCAAGTTTGTTTACAAGAGGAAACATTTCTTCTTCCCTGCTAATCAGGCATTTTCCTCCCAAATTATCATGTCCAGGACACACACACCATTTCTCCCCGTGACAACTTTCAGATCCAACCCAATGCTTTCCTGCATGACTGGAAACAGAAAGCACAACAGCATGTGGAAAGATTTCAGCTCCCTAATGGCTCTACATGGAGCATTCTCCTGTCCTTCTTGATCTCCAGACACTATCCTCCAAAATTTAAGTTTTGTCCATAGAAGAAAACATTTCTTTTAACTTAGACTCAATTTTGAACTTTAGAAACCATAAGAGGGGTATCCTTCATGAGCAACAGGTACAAAGTTATTCCAATGTTTAATATTTTTAAGATAAGGAACTTCTCTCCTTTATGTGTGATCATTCTTACTTGCCTCAGTCATTCATGACATAACACTAGGAAATTTCTTAAAGGACTTCATGCACCACATACTACAAATCACAAGCATTCCTGAACATAAAATGTCATTAAAAGAAATGGAGTTCACAGCACCTTATTACATCAAGATATTGGATGGTCAAATTCAAAGGAAAAAAGAGAACACATATGTATTTTGTTTGCAGTTACGCACAGATGCATAAGAACACAGAGCTCATTAACGTAGCAGACGGAGACCTGGCTGCCATCGGCTAAGGTGACACATCCTCACATGTTCAATCTTGCATCCTGTGCAGCCCCAGCAAAACCATCACGGTGAGGAAGCAACAAAAGCAGCTGCCATGAGCTCTGAGGGACAACAGAGCCATGTCTTAGCCATGTCTAAGCCACTCATTCCCTCTGCTCCACAGGCAAAGCAATGGCACAACAGCACTGGGTCTGTGCACCACTAGCGAGCTTTCCTCTTACCTGGGGGCAGGAGTCACCACAGCCACCACAGATGTGTACCTCCATCTGCGTCCCAAGAACTCACCACAATTTAGGACTGCTTTGTTGGGTTGGTTTGGTTTAATTGGTACAGAAGCAAACACACCAATCGATTACCAAAAAATGAGAAAATATCTATGGATAAAACCACTATAAATATATTTCTATAACTTATTTCTTGTGAGTTTAACCTCCACACAAAATTCATGCCCAAGTAGGATTTTTTCAGAAAGCAGAAACTCCTAGCTTTGCTCTCATCATCATATTCTGCAATTTGTCTTTAGCTGCCAGCCTCACAAGTGAAAATCCCCAAAGAACTTTTGTGTGCTCTTTGCACAAAAAAGATAATACTCTGAAACCTTTCATAGCCATAACTCTGCAAACTCACTCAGCTAACCTGAGCACTGATCTGCTGAGGGGAATCTGTCTGTGATTTATAGTCCTGCACGAGGAGCTCCGGCATCTGCTGGGACACGTCTGTGGGGCCGACTGCGAGTTGCTGAAATCTACAGCAAGAGAGGCAAAGGAAGGAAGGAGGAACTGCATTTTCCAAGCTTCTTTCATACAGGAAACAGTTTTTTCACAGATCAGATAGGCACACACCAGTTATCCTAAGCAGATGACAACAGAAGGGAACAAGGAGGGAAGCCCGCTTTCCAGGCTGCTCTCCTGTGCAATGGTCCTAAGCATGGGTGGGAAGAACAAGGGCTGCCTTTGCTGTCCTGGTACCAGGCAGAGAGACAAGAAACAGCAGGCAGTGGCTAAGTTCTGCTCTAATTGTGAGTAAGAATACTGTCAGACCACAGCAAGTGAGGAAGCCAAGGAAAATTTCTCCAAGAAATATCAAAAGTTATGTGTCCCAACTGCAGTCATTCATTCCACAAATACCTATTAGTAATTAATACCACTGCAAAACCAACACAGATACAAAAACTAAAATTTCTGGCAAAATATCACTATCTTTATCAAGTAAAAAAAATCCTAAGTTTGCCATTATGTACAAAACCATTTTATCTGGAGTCTGAGAGGGAGCAGAAAACACTACCCTTTTCTGCTAGAGCACCACTTCTACATGGATAGTTCAAATAAAGTACAGCCATGCTCTAGGCATGGGGCATTCCTTTTTTAAAAACTAAACTAGTCCCAGATACATCACCCTTTACTCAGATACTGATAAAAACCATAACTTTTCAACCTGAGTATGAGCATCTACT